TCAGTTTCAGACCTGCCTTGGAAGTTTGAAGGTGATTGGTGATGCAGGCAGCAGAGAAAGATGAAGTTACGTAGATTTCAAGATGTACATTCCTACTGCCCTTCAGCTGAGCCTGTTAGATGATATTTGAAGACTGGGTGCAGGCAATTATAGAGAACTCAGATTAAAGGTAAATTAAAGTGCATATTGAACCAAAACATTTGAATATATTTTGGATAGAGTGTGGAAGGGTAACAACCCCTTTCAGGTTTTTACTGCTATGCGGAACTCTTCCCTACTTTCTGTCCTATGGACAATGTTTTACCATGCAGGAGGGGATCGCCCCAACTGCAACACAAACGGAAATAAACATTATTTCCTTCAGTAGAGTAGAGAAAGGCTACAACCTCTATCAAATTTTTATTTCTGTTTGTGTTAGAGTGGTGCACCGAAATGAAAACATTCTTAATCCTTGTAGTGCACTGCAAGGGTCAAAAGCTCGTTTACGTCTAGGCCAGTCCTCCCAACCTCTTTCTGTCTATGCTCCAGCGGTCTAAGGTCATCACATCCAATACACTGTGGGACATACCATCGCTGGACCAGAGGAGTAGACAGGTTGGAGGGAGTGATGTAACAGCCAGCCGTCTCTGAGGATCAGGTGAGTATAAGTTTATTTGTTTGTTATTCGTTTGTGTATCTTGTGTATTTCTTCTACATCTAGATGTAATTGGATCTTGTGTATTACTTCCAGATCTGTGCAGTAATCTAATGTGAAACTTTGCCTCTGTGCAGGAGCTTCCTCTAATAAAGACCAGTCACTGCTGCTCTCTTTTCTTGTGTGAGGTGACTGGTCTTGTCTCCGCCCTGTCCTGTACTTTTCTGCAGCGTTCTATGTACGTGCTATGCACAGTACAGTGATGATATCACTACTACTTTTAGAAAGTAATTTACTATTAAAAATAGGTCTAACTAATGCCTTACCCCATACTATACTCGGTATCGACTTCATATTATTATTGAAATGCAGTAATCAAAAGCAAATGTAAGACAAATAGGCACATGATTCTTCCCAGGATAATACCTGCCGCACATCAGCAGAACAAGGAGTACACAGGGGATTAAAAAAAATATTATACACAGTATAAATAGTATATTTCAATGAACGTTTTTGTGCCTGGAACTCCGCTTTAAGACACTGATCTCTTGCTAAAGTCTGATTGCTTTTTATCATTTCCTTTTAAATATGGGTAGCTTGAGTTCTGCTTTGCCAGAAGCGATCCATCATTAGCCAGTATCTGCGATAGCACTTTTATAACTTCGGAAGAGTTGTGTGTCAATTTGTGGTGTACAAAGTTTGAATGTTTTTTAGTCATCCCAAATAATGGATCTCATATCTGCCTTTGATGGGACGCAGTCCTATACCTCCTGCTGTGCATTACAGGTGATGCTGTGTTTATAACCAGGGCAGTAATAATCTTGGACCTCGGTCAGCTGGCTGCATTGCATAATGTATTCCAGCCCAATGTTTGTGGTCATTTTTCTGCAACTTTACAGACTGTTGGAAAAAAACTATTTGTTAAGCTCAGACAATTAATACCCTTCATTAGTCACTGAGCGGGCATCTCCTAGCAGGATTAAGGTTTTCCACTCTCTTGTTATGCTCTGCCAAAGTGTGCGCTTCAGTATTTTGGCACTTGGGGCAGTGCCAAGAACGTGCGGCTCTGAGCGATGAGAACATGCACTGTGTCGCCATCCTCTGTGCTTCGCTCACTACATTTCTGCTGCTGAGATCACCTGCAGGGCAGATGGCTTATTTTGATATTGCCCACAGCATCCAGACAAAATGTGTTTTCCCCAATAAATGGAAGCTGAAACCTGATTGGTTGTGACTGCATTCAAAGTTGCATAGTTAGTTGGAAAAAAAAAGTCCACCAAGTTTACCCAGCAGAACAAAATTGAATGAATAGAAAACCCACTGACAACCCTATACCTGCAGTTGATCCAAAGGAAAGAGAAAAAAATAAAGCATAGTCCAATTTACTCCAGTGGGATAAAATATTTCCTTCCTGATCCGCAGGATATGCCCTAGATCAGTGGTGGCGAACCTTGGCACTCCAGCTGTTTTGCAACTACAAGTCCCATGAGGCATTGCAATGCTCTGACAGCCACATACATAACTCCCCGTGGCAGATGTATGTTGGGATTTGTAGTTTTGGCCCAGCTGGAGTGCCAAAGTTCGCCACCACTGCCCTAGATCAACAACATATGGTTGGGTAAACTGCTTGCAAATGTGCTGACAAAGAACATGCTGACAGGAGGAGAAAGCAGAGTACACAGGAAGGCTCACTTCACTTCACTGTCCAGACATAGGTTGGGGGGCGTATTACTTTATGGCAGTAAAGAAAAGATACCAGAGTAGGCAGAGCTGTTAAAATCTCAGAACTGGATGGACTGAATTGCAAATCATGAGACAGGTAAAATAGCTCCTGTATGTGTATTTCATCAGTGTATTTATTGTAGCCCTCTGTTTAGAACTCCGCCTCAGTCACAAAGGGTGTTTTGCCCTGTACAGCGTGGTGGGCCATTTCTTGATGCGCCAGAGCTGCGGGAAGATGCAGCTCATGTAACTCTATGGAGAAGCAAGAGGTGTGTGCCTTCACATGCTGCTTCCCGCAGTTCTTAGTCTTGAGAGCCCCACACAGGCCTTGGACACAGACATGATAGATACAGCTCCTTGCACTGCCTGTGTGGCTGTCAAATCTCAGAGTAGCAGGAAGCAGTGTGTGAGCATAGCTCCTGCGTCTCTATAGACTGACATGGGCTGCCCGCATGATACTTCCCGCAGCTCCGGACGCATTAAGAAATGGCCCTGCACGCTGTATGGGGCAACATGCCCTGTGTGAATGAGGCCTAATATTATTATTATTATTATACAGGATTTATATAGCGCCAACAGTTTGCACAGCGCTTTACAATATAAGGAAGACATTACAATCACAATACAATTCAAGACAAGATGGTAAGGAGGGCCCTGCCCCTGAGGGCTTACAATCTAAAAGGGAATAACTTCTAATAACCTAATAACTTTCTTGTGACACGTTCTCTTCAAGTGACCGCATACTTGTATACTGCTGTGTGTGATGTGAGCAATCCTCTGAGAGCTTACTTACGAAGAAATACCATCTTCTGGAATTTTTCATGCAGCAGATTAATTTTCATCACAATTTCCATCAAGAAGTTTTACAAACATGCTAAACAAAGCCCTCCGTCCCAATTTCCCTCCTGCAATGAATGGATTAAAAGACGACGTTATATTTTGACACAGTAACAATGGGCAGTGTTCTGGAGATGCGGGGAGGGTGGGTGTATTTTGTCATCATTTTTCCAGGGTGCCCTTTGTAAGCAGGGTGATGTAGTTCTAAGCAGCTGGGTCATTAGAATGGATCGTTCAGTCTTCCTGACCTTTTTGATGGCCGACAGTGACTCAGTGTCGATGTTCATGAACTCAGTGGGACTGGCGTGACTTTTAGTGCCAGGACCTCACAACCCGTGTACATCCAGACTTCACATGCCAAAATCAATGTGTTCAGATCTATGCTATATAGAGACTAACATTTCCCAATGGTAATGGTTTCTTTAGATTGTAAGCTCTCACAACCAGGGCCCTCTGAATCCTCTTGTTTTGTATTGTATTGTACTGACTCATTTAGCCGAAACTTTAGGAATTATATAAATCCTGAATAATATTAAATATTGTTATTAATCAGGATTTATAGAACCCAACGTGTGATTCTTCCCGATAAATGCTCATGTACTTTTTCGAGCTACAAGCTACACTATGTTCAAATGTGAAGGGGCACCTTTAAAAATAATGGGATTCTTTATGTTGAACATTCTTCATGTTGAGCTCGGGAAACAAGTGACAAAACACTTAGGGGTAAAAAATAAAAAAAATTGGCTTATATAATTCAAAGGAAACCTTTAATAAGGGAAATGCAGGGGCTGCCATTGCTGACCTTCATCTCAAAGTTCCCTGGTTGACAGGCTTGCATAATTATTGTGCAGATCAAAATAGAGTGGATTTAGGGTTCTTAAACTGAAGGCTGGGGACCCAAACTGCTGAAGCTATTAGATTATCATGACAGACCGGAAATTACTATTTTCAGAGAAGGAGTCAGCAGTGGTAACCAGTATATGTTTCCTTTTAATATCTGGCACCCTATAATTTTGTGTCACTTCCAGAGCTACTATCTTAATTCCAGTCCGTAGCTTGTTCCTATTGGGCATAATGGGCCAAAACGAGTACTGAATGCAGAGTTTACCTGCGTTGTTAGGTTCCTGATCATGCGTCATGGGGTAGCATTTTGTCAGATGGGAGATTCCTGATTATCCAGCTACAGTCTATCTGACATTGACCTTTATAAAGAGGTCTTGCATTCTTTTTTTTCTTTTTTTAACATTATGGATAATACATCAGAAAAAGTAAGACTCATACTTTTTAAGTAGGCAAAACAATTCTCTATGGTGAATTCACTCAGCAAAATAAAACTCACTGAAATCTATTTCTATTTTTTTTTTTTTTAATAAAAGAAGAAGCCTCGGTTCATACATATGCACATACAAGTGGGTTTTTATGTAGATTGCAGGAAGACCATACTTTGCCTTGACATGGTCATTTGGCCACAGAGTTGCATACAAATGAGGCCTCTGCTTTTATGTAACTAATAGAAACGGGTTTCAGTTGCTGTTTTACAGGGCAGAGTGCTGGGGAATGATCATATTTTGTGTTTAGCTAATTGCACCTCCTTATCTGACTTGGGTGTACATAACTTCAAAAGTTATTCTACTAATATTCTTCTGAAAGAATCAATAGTTGTTCTTCTGATTGTAGGATGTACTGTGAGCCTTAATTCCTGAGCTATGCATGACATATGTGCGGCATGTGCCTGTATATTGCTTTCCAATTATTTGTAATTATTGTTCATCATCCTAAAGGCCTTCTTTCTTCTTTTCCCTTTTAGGAGATCGCTCTTTGTTTGGATAATTCTATATATTTCCTGTTGCCTGGATATTTCTCAGGGAGCAGCTGAAGGTAAATGATTTGTTTGTTGAACTGTAAGCAATGTACAGATTGAGAAGAGGGGGGTAATACAGTATAAAGGCCACCCCTCATACCAACACACAAACAACTGTTTGTCTGTTATATGTTGTGTTTTTTTTCTGCTGAATTGGCCAGGCTTTTTTTCCCATGTTCCTGAATGGAGTTCTAGCGTAGAAAATAAAATGGTAGCCACTAATTGCCGCAAACAAGAATCAAAGAAGCCAAATAAAAGGGGGATATAAATATGCTTCTCATGTAACTACAGAAAGGCTCCTCTGATGGTTCATGTGATTGTTGGGAATGCTGACGTGGGAATAAGAAGACAAGATGGGATGAAGGCAAGCAATTTGGATGATGGAGGTTGATTTTATTAGAGATAATCTGCACATCAAGCATTTGGTAGAGACGGCACCTCTGGGCCTCACTGCTTATCCATGTAAGAAACTATACCTATGTGCCTGTACTATGAAACCCATCATTGGATAGAGACTGCTCCACTTGGTGATAACAGACACAAAGTGTACATGCATCTGGAAATTTAACCATTTTCTTTGTTAAAAAAGATGTCACTTAGGTCAGTGTTGAGTGCACCAAAATAAGATTTGCTCAGTGCTAAGAACAGTGTCCATGAGTATTGACACCTACATCTACTAGAGAGAACCATTTCACCCACTGTGCCTGGGAGCACTAAGTTCATAAACATCCATGAATGTGGGCTGAAAACCAGATTTAACAGGGGTGGATACATTTATTTCTGTGTAAAATGGAACCTAATGCTGCCTGAGTGTTCTTTAAACATTGTGTGCTGTAGGCCCATTAATTCACACAGGCGTTCTGTGTCAGGAATTACATTGTCATCTTTATTGCTGACTCTTACTGCTCATGTACACTCCCTAGGGCAGGGGTGCCCATTAGGTAGATCGTGATCTACCAGTAGCTCTCAAAGCTGATGCTGGTAGATCAGGAAGGGTGTGAATGGTGGCCCCTTTATTCCATTTTGGTATGTTTAGCTGTGCATGCATGATCACCTATCAGCCTGAGTCTGCTGAACTGCTATGTATTACATCAAAGAATATTAGATTACACAGCATGTTACACTACACTGTTTGCAAAATACAGCAAGGTGAGCCAGTAGAGAGAGCGGGGAGAGACAGCCAGTAAGAGAGAGAGGAGAGACAGCCAGGGGAGAGAGCAAGGAGAGACAGCCAAGAGAGGGAAGATAGGCAGCCAGGAGAGAAAATGAGGAATGACAGCTAGGAGAGAGAGAAGAGAGACAGCCAGGAGGATGAGCAAGGAGACAGCCAGGAGAGCGAAGAGAGAGAGAGAGAGCGAGGGAGGGTTTTTTTCGTTGGTAGATCTCATGTAGCTCGTCATTTGAAAAGTAGATCTTAACACAAAAATTGTGGGCACCCCTGCCCTAGGGCATGTTACAATCAAAAGGAAACAGGTTGTGTTCACCCCATTGTAGATGGAAACCCCCATTGTAGATGGGGGCACCCAGTATTTGTATAATTATGCCCTACAAAAGAAATGGTGAAGGTTCAGTTAAAGATCAGCAAACTAGAGAAATGTTTTGTTACTTTATTTTTGTACAGTCACAAAAGCAGGGGTTAATTACTGTAACATTCAAGTGTTGCTCAACAGTCAACTGCTGTCCATAAACATAAAGATACAATTATTATTCTGTTGTTTCAGCAAAAGGCTCATATTTTCCACAAAATGTTTGTATTAAATGATTGTTTTAACATACAAACAATCATTTTAATTGAATAAGGATGATTTGTCCAGATGAGTTAAACCACATTTATATATATTTTTTTTATTGTTGTGCAAACAATTGGTTTATAGTAGAAGATGGTTTGAAACGATCAGAACTTTAATTAGTCATTCGTTTATAATAACGAGTATGGCTGGCAAAAGAACAAGCATGTATTTTTATAGGGAATTTGTCATCAGAGAAATACAGTGGATGCCATTGGTAACCTCTATTCGGAAATGCAAGTTACTGGACTTTCATGCTGACCCTCTTCAGTACTTTTGAACTACAGACCTGAAGTAAGTGTGAACCAAGTAAAGTCGTATTGAAGTCAGCATTTCTGATCTGCATAATTCCTCTGCACCAGTAACCAATGAGGTTCAGCATGACACGAAGACTTTTTGGAAGGTCACCAGTGGCAGCCTCATCTTTCAATTATGACAGGTTTAAGTGGCCAACAACGTCTTTGTCTACTGGCAGTAGTGGAAAGACTCATGAAATAGGCACAAACTAGCTATCTTGCTCCTGGGATTTGTCTGACCATGTTCCATGCACACACAAGTCTTACTCTTTAGGAAAATACAGATTATAACTGTAATTGAGCCAGAAATTTAGAATTGCTTCAAATGATAACCTCTATTATGAGCTGCTTTCGCATCCATATTAAAACCTGGGAATGAGCATGCAACATTAAAAAGTTACCTCTGCTGGGAGTCAAAGTGGTCTTTTTCATAGTTCAATTGTCAAAAATTGATAATAGGTCATTGGAGTCTCAAAATACAAAAACATATGTTTCCACATGCTGTTTGCTTGATCTAAATGTGGTTATAAAATAGGTTTACCGTGTGTCACGGTAATGTTGGAGCAATGGTTTTTATTTCTTTTTAGACGCAACCAAAGGCCTTGTAGGGCGTGCAAAATTATTTTTAAGTCTTGTGTGTCTAGCCTATTTGGCAGAATGACACCGCTGTAATGTAGACAAGTATGTGAAGACGAGAGTGGGGTCAACTTAGCCCTCTGGGGATGACTACTATTAATACCCCATATGTCTACGCTAGGGTACGGTCCGGAAAACACAAGTGGATATTGGAAGTGACCGGTATTCCTCTTTAAAAACCCACATCCTCTGAACATCAATCAGGCTGCAAAAACCAAGATGGTTTGTTCTTAATGCGGACATAATGTGTCATGTTTTATTAGTTGTAAAGTGTAAGTAGCCTGGTAAGTCTGGTGACAAGCAGGGTATGATTGTAGGAAAATCACACAGTACATCCACAGTAATCCTTACTTTCATCTCCGAAACATCACACTGAGCTCCGTCTCCTGGTACTGAGACATTGTTTGTAATTAGATAATTGCCAACATATGTGGGCATATTTAAAGAGGTACTCCACTGAGTACCATCTGCCACATAACTTTACCCTTATGCGGTTTAAGAAAACCATTAACCCTTGCTGTGGAAGAAGAAACACTTAGGGGCCCTGTGCTTTAAACATGGTCATGTGAACATTAGGGGAAAGTTATGTGCTGATATTTTCAATGACACTGCTGTTAACCCTGTGTTTTGGTGTGGTAAGTTTCCAGCAGTGCATCATCCAAATCAGGGGTAGCCAAACTCCAGCCCTCCAGCTGTGGTGAAACTACAAATCCCATGATGCATCTCTCTCCGGGAGTCATGTCTGTGAGAATCTTGCAATGCCTCATGGAATTTGTAGTTCCACCACAGCTGGGGGGCCGGAGTTTGGCTACCCCTTATCCAAATGGATGGATGGCACCTCCTGTAAATTCATCATACATGCATTTAAGTGCATTAAACAATGTTCAAAATATCCTACCCTTGTATGCCACAAATACATGTGAAACAGTGTAACACAGGACAAAATAAATGAATGATTTTTCTTAGTGTCGAAGTATAAATAGACCCATACTACTTGTAGGATCTTCTTGGCATTAAAAATCAGGTAAGTGGGGGAAAAAAACTGTTCCTGAACCAGGAAATAAAATCTGCTCCATAATGCAGATTTGGAGATTTAGTGCCTTGGCCCTATGCTTTCAGGATATAAGGTTTGGGGCTATAAATTATCACCTTTGCCATTGCTAAAAAAAAAAAAAAAAAGTACCTTAAAGTGGTAATCAGTTGTATTTAATGATCATCCAGATTGAATCCAGTATTAAAAAAAAAAAAAAGTTTCCTTTTAAACACATTGCAAAATACAGTTGTGCGCATTAATCTGTAGCAGCCAATTCAATCAACTTTTTCGTTGCCCTTTCTAAGCAGCTAAGTGTCGATGTCCATTATACATCATTTTATTCTGTTGCGGTTTTCTTTTTAATGTAAATTGCCATTTGAAGAAGACACTCAAAAAGTGAGAAACTGAAAATTCGTCTTCTTTATTCTTATTGTTTTAAAAAATCTTCAAAATCCTCATACATAACTGGCATCTAGACTTCAGTTTGTAGGATAATGGAAGGCTGAAATCTTGCCGCGAGCTAATATTACCATTGAACTGGTTCTTGTTAAGGGGCAAAAGCAATTGCAGCTGTTCGTCAGTCATTCAGCAAGATACACCATAAGGAATGTGTGACTGTATGTCTGACCTCTGAGAATCCTCTCTGTTCTTTTTACTTGTTTTGTTTCTGCCACACCGAATGTGGTCTTAACCTATTTTTGGTTTTGGGTTTCAGATGTGGACGTTCTTCAGAAGCTGGGCCTCATGCGAAGCAAGCCATCCAGCCGCCCAGTTCCCGAAGGGGTCATACCATTTAAGTCGGGAGTCATTTTGACGCAGAGAGCACGTGCAGAAGCTCCCGTTCATGCCATCATCCCGCCTAGCTTAGGAACGGATCTCACTTTGGTGCTGAGCCTGTGCTCTCACCGCATTAACAATGCATTCTTATTCGCAGTCCGAAGCAAAAAGAAAAAACTTGAGCTCGGGTTGCAGTTCATCCCGGGTAAAATTATAGTTTATGTGGGTCACAAGCAGTCTGTATATTTTGATTACAATGTCCACGATGGCCAGTGGCACAATATGGCCGTTGATATTCAAGGCCAAAAGGTGACTCTGTATACTTCTTGTGGGAAGCAAAGTATAAATGCCAGTTTGCATATAAAGAAAGATGACACATTGGATTCTGATGGGGTTTTCATGCTGGGAAAGTTTAGCCAGCAAACAATACAATTTGAAGGTGCTATTTGCCAGTTTGATATTTATCCTCCAGCGAAGGCAGCTCATAATTACTGTAAATATCTTAAGAAGCAGTGCAGGCAAGTGGATACCTACCGGCCGAATCTGCCACCTCTGATTCCACTGATGCCCCTAGAAGCCAGGTTGTCTCTAAGCACGGAGATCATTTTAAAATCTCTAGGCAACTTTACCACAGCTTCCCCTCAGTCAGTCAAAACAAACTTAACAACCAACAGCAAGGTCAGGACTCCTTCTGTAAAGTTGACTACCAAAGCTCCGGCCTTGTCGTCTGTGACATCTCCAGCCCCTCACAGAATTCATACTCAGCTCTTATCAAGTGTCTCCACCAGGACCTCCACTGTCGCGCTCAGGATATCTCCAGCCTCTGCTGTTTTACTGGGACAGCCTCCGCCAGCCATCACCAAACACAGCGCCCTTCCCAGCCAGAACAGCACAAAGAAGCCCCAGCAAGAAAAAGTGACCAAGAAAGTTGTCTACCAAAAAACAACCATTAAGCCTCTAGCAAGTTCTTCTTCTTCCAAGCAGGTCAAGAAGAGCACGGGAAGCCCAAGGAGTACAAACACCACCACTCCAAAGCAAGCAGTCGAGAAAAGGACTAGTGCTCCATCCCAGAAGAATCAAACTTCCATGAACCTCAATGTCCAGCCAACCACATCCTCACTCCTCTATACCAAACCTGCCTCCGGGACCATTTACTCATCTACATCAACCATTACCAGCCTGCCATTTACTCACGATTACCTGTGGCTTGACCCAACTGCTTTTCCGTATTTGATGGGACCTCCTGGACCTAAGGGAGATGAAGGTGCCCCCGTAAGTGAAATTACCCTTTTTTGTTTACTAACTTAATATTAGCATTAATCCTGAAATAACTACACTATTGTGGATTCTGCTTTTAAATGTCTACATGTTTTAATTAAAGCTGGACAAGAGACATGATTTTAATCTTTTGCTGTAACACTTACATTTCTTGTCTGTACTCCAGCCTGTGACTGGATAGGGAAAGCAGACTGATGAGGTCAAATTAATGACTGGTTCAGTAAAAGTTAGACATGTAAAAGAGTGAGAACAGACCCAACCCACGGATCCGGCCATTCAGATTTCCACTCTATAACTGCATTCAGGCCCCACCTTTTAACTTGTCTTGCTCCAAAATGATGTGCTAGTATAACAGGTGTGAATTTGGGTGACTTCTGAGTATCCATATTGTTTAGAAAGCAGCAGGAATTGTTATACAAAAGTGACATAGATCCACCACTGCAGCCATCAAACGATTCAATATTCCATCCTGGTTATTTAAATCAAGCAGATATGGTAATTTGCTCATGCAAGAACCAATCATCAGTAGAGAAGGAATAAAATGTATTTTACCATAGATGAGTTCATCAAACATGTATCCCTGAAGTTCTGTTTCTTGCTTTGTTTTTGTAATTGTAAGGGCTGCATCTTTGCCTCACTTTTGTTTGCTTTTACTTGTTATCTTTTCTCAACCTGCAGTAAGGACATTGGTAAAGCATTCCTGCATATGTGTCTAAACCATTGCTTTAGCGGTTTCTCTGTTGTTGTGTTTTTACTATGTGAACCTGCACTTGTAAAGTAAAGTTCACATAGTAAGTAAAAGTGAAAAAAAAACCTTCTTGTCCCGTATGAGACATTCCCAGGATGTAGGAGGATTGCAAAAGACAGATTTGAAAGCATTAGGTTCTGATAAAGCAGAAGTAGAAATGCAGGTCCGCTTCTGATTGGAGTTGTCCAATGAGGAGTTAGCTGTCACCTGTAAAGGTGTATTAGTGGCTGCCTGGTTGACTTAGGGGCTAAAAAGTCATCTTCCTTGGCATTAAATATTTTTCCTGTGTCTTGAAGTCTGTGTTGTTAAAGACTGGAGCTTATTCCAAAAGATTAGTCTATGCTTTCCAAAGAAGCCATTACATTTTGTGGTGCTCAAAGACAAATGGTGGCATATGTCCTGTAGAAATTTATACTAAAATAAATGTATGTTAAATAATTGAAGAAATCAATGATGAACCCTTATATATGACAAATTTAAAACTGAAGTTCAGGCAAGCAACTAAATACAGAGTTTTATTACACATATGAGAACTTTGTGATCCAGGCTCTTCGTATTTAGTCCTCCCTTTCCTTGTCTAAATATGACTGTGCAAAGAATTACAGGAGTCTGATATCAAGACCGTTTTAGGTACTTACACTTGCTCCATTTAAAAATACATTTTATCAATTGGCGTGTGTGTCAAATATACGTTTGGCATTCAGCTTTAAATGTGAATCAGAGCCAGTGAATGTAACACTAGCTATACATTAAATAATGTTACTAAGACCTGGATTTCCATTGTAAAATTGGAAATCCAGATGTTAGGTGAGCAGCATCATATGATTCATGACTAGGTGAACACACATCCTCACACTGATTCCAGTAAGTTTAAGGTTTAATTCCAGTCAAAATGTTTTTGTTTTTTTTAAGTTTTAGGTTCTTGTTAAGGTCAGGAAGGGTAAGAACCTCTGACAGGTTTTGTTGCTGTCTGTGTCCTTATGGAGTAAATTTCTCCTCCCTTCCTGTTCCACTTATGGGTTCCAGTGATATAGGATGTGTGCAGGAATCTCTGCAAATAGGATACAAACATACCCATGTTTTCTCTGGAAGGGTTAGAGCTCAGTTTTTTTCTTCCTGTTTCCCTGCTGAAGAGAATCATTCTAATTTCCTGTCCATGTGATGTGTACAGGCAGTAAAAGGGGAACGCCCCTTTCCAACCTGTTTTGCTTCGGAATATGTTTACATCCTTCATGCAGGGCTTCTCTGCACTGGCCATGCATGCACAATATTTTCCCATGAATTTCTATAGGACCTTCCCCCCAGTGTCTCCGGCCTAGGACCCGGTCCTGATCCCATAGACATCTATAGATATGGCTAGCACAGAGTCATTTTGTGCAATCACTGAAAGCCCTATGGGTGCCATTTCAAAGTAGTTATATATTTAGAATGGGGACGCAGAGGTAGTTTGGCTCAATGGGAAGAGGGGAAGGTACACTTGTACTTTCAAATATACCTGTCATCGGGTAGGTAAAAGCCTGCCATCGCTTATCTCAGGAAATGCTAATTACCTGGGTCTGTCTGGCTTTATAGAGAATGTATATATTTGTGCATATTTTTTTTATTTATTATGGTAAGGACTAAAAGTACTTTTAAAAACAATGCCCAGATAGCAAGTAATTGAGCTGCAAGTTTGAAAATTACTTGCTAAACTGTTGCAGACTTGACAAGCTTCACAATTTTGTTGCACAATTACAGCAAGTCTGCATTGCAAGTCTCCAAACCAGCGAGCTTGCAGAGCTCTTGCTAAGACCTGCAGGACTCTTGCTGTAGACTTGCCAAGCAAATTTGCTACAAATTCAAAAAGTGTCAACTAGAACTTGTGCTGCGAGTGTTCTGCAAGTCTACAACTTGCCAGGAATATGTGCAGCAAGTTAACAAAATTACAATTTCACCCTGCTACAAGTTTGTAGCAAGTTATCCTTGCTATCTGGATGTTTAATCCTTTTTTTCTTTTTTTCTAGTTGGGTAGATATGATACATTGTATATTAATATCATGCAGTATCCTTTCCAGCCAGAAGATGGATCTCTAGATTTTTTTTTTACATGTTCAGCTATTTTATTTTTGCTGAGGAAAGACGATTAGTTACAGAACTCATTAGCTCAAGCTTAATGATGGATGATTCATACCTTGTCAGGAAGTTCAGCCTAATGTTTTACTAAGACAAACAGGCCCAAAACAGGCAGCTTTTGCTTTATTGTCTCTTTAGGTAACCCATAGTGTTTGGAATCCTTTGTAATAAATGTATATAATGTGTGTGTGTGTGTGTGTGTGTGTGTATACTAGATAACCAAAGCTTTGTGGACACCCTCAACATTTCTGAGTACAGGTAAACAAAGTCAGCTCCATAAAGACATGGTTTGATGAGCTTGGTGTAGAGAAAATTGAGTGACCTGACTTCAACTCCACGAACACCTTTTGGGATGAATTTGAATGCAAATTGTGACCCAGTTCTTCTCATCCAGTACCTGATCTCACAATTGCCCTTTTGACTGAATGGGCACAAATTCCCACACACATACTCCAAAATCTCTTGTGGAAATCCTTTCCAGAAGAACAGAGGCTGTTATAGGGGTTGCTGACTCTATATTAATGGCCATGGTTTTGGAATCGGATGTCCAACAAGCTCATATGGTCCACAAACAGTGGGATTTAAAATATACATGACATGCCGATTTAATGCAGTCACAAAGGTAGGATGTTTTTTATTTCTCTAATCCGTACACACAGACAAGCATTATTTATAAATGTATGAAGTTTTGATTACCATGAGCCGAGGGACAGATTCCCTGACAGCACCATTAGTCCAGGTGCAGCCATAGTATGTTCTCAGTACAGAATGGAGCATAGTTGTACACACTAGAACAGGCAGTGAGTCATGCACACATTACTGGCAGCCTATACTGATGAGATCACAGCTAATTTCCTCCTCATCCCGAGCAAGGAATCACTTTTTTTGTCAATTGTTCAGCTGCAAACATTAATTCCAGGGAAATCCCTTGTACTTTCCTCTCGCTCGGAGCAAGGGAGCAGAGAGTTCTCTCTTTATTAATGTGTTACGAGGCTCACAGCTTCAATGAGTGTGGTTCGTATACAAGCTTGGCTGCTGGAATCTTACACAGCTCTGTTATCCAGGTCATTTGTGAAGATCTCCAGATGCATCATATTTGAGCGGGAAAACGGATGCCAGTTTTTGTGGGACTTGCTCTGGAGCCTGGAAACTGATAGCCTCCTTATCCCCCACCTCCTTAGTTTCTTGTGTGGTCTCCAGATATTTCATAAGACATGAAGCTAAGAATTTAGGTATTTAACCCCTTCATGACTGATGCCTTTATCGGGAGTCTGTTTAAACAGCCCCGATGCTGGCGACGTACACTGTACGTCGTCGGTCACGAAGGGGTTAAAGAATATTGGCAATGCTGCTTAATTACTTATAGCCACCATAAGTGTGAATCCCAAATGTTGATTTTATGACAAGTTCAGTGAACAAAAGGTCAAATAATAATTAGAAGCCCAGGGCCAGCTTTCTCAAAAAAATAAATAAAACATTGTATCTACTTCTGTATAAATAATAGCTGTTTGCCACCAAGCAATACCCTCTCTATGCTCTAGTGCAGTGGTTCTCAACCTGCATAACCTCAGGACCCACATTTGTCCTTGGTCATTAAGTCGTGACCCAAGTTGCACCGCACTGGAAGGCACGGCATTGCGGTACAATGCATTCCGGTGCGGGCAGTCGAACTGTGGGTAAGAGGTGCGTTTGGGGTACCATTCAAATTAATGGCAATGCAACACACCTCCCACATCAAAATGCACGGTAGGTGCGATTGCGTGGTAAAGTGCGTTATTCGCACAGGACTGTCTGATTAACGCACTGTACTAGTGTGAGCGGTCCCTCAAAAACACCAACAGATACACACACACCCACAGACACAATTTCACACACTTACAGACATTATCACACACACATTCACACTCCACCCTCTTTTTTTTAAGATCCACCAGTCTCCCTACCTTATGAGAACTGGAGTGGATCCTCAACCTGGGGTCCAGTGTGTGCTGTGACGGAGCTCCATCCATATGTGCATTGCTTGTACAGCTCCCTTGTGTGCCCTGTAGAGGTGCTGGAAGCCAGACATCACTCTGGTCCAGGCTCCTCTACAGGGCAAGCGAGGGAGCTGTAAGCAATGTAAGCAATGCACGTA